CATATAAGGTAGGTGAGTAAGCTTTTTGCATCAGGAGGCTGAACTAATAAAACTGCGGTTATTTTATTGTTTTTATGAAGTCACTTCGTATCCTACCCCAAAGTTTTTCTTTGAAAAGGAGGGACGAATTGAAATCCACATTTTTGTAGTAATCACCATTATGCCACAAGTGCTGTCAGTTAAACTTGAATTTGAATTGCACTGCACTCATGATTCTAATAAAAAAAGTACTTCCTATCTTAAACGATGTCGACAAACAGCTGCACGCCACTCCTCTGAAACACTTCGGACACCCCTCTCGGCTAATGTTTTTCTGAGCCATGTGTTGCGTCTATAACCTCCCTCCAAAACCCAACCCCCAGCCAGCCCTTATGCCCCACATACAAACACAAACTCCACAAGTTTCCCCCCAAAAAGCAACAGCCAGTACTCTAAACTCATAAACACCCCCTGCACACACAGCCAGCCCCCATCTGGCGGCCCCTGGCCCTGCCCCCGTTGGAGCTGGGGGCTGGGGTGGAGCTGAGGTCAGGGATCAGGCAGACGTTGGCCCTTTGCTCAACAGCTGCCCGTGTTCACAAGCCAGGAGGAGGAAGTGGCAGCCGCCACTGCAGCAGCAGCACATCTGCTCTAATGAGTGTGTCAAAGCCACTAATGCACAGACACACACACACTGATCTGGCCCTCCCCTGACCTTCTCTTCACACACTCAGCACACCATCAGGCCAGAATGGAGCCCTTTGTGTGGCAGTGTGTTTGTGTGTGGTGTTTCGTGAAAGGTTCAGAGCTGTGTTGTGTAATGAGTCCACTGTGACAAGAGGAAGAACTGCAAAGACATTTAAATTCATGACACACACACACACACACACATACTCTGTGAGGGGTCTGAAGGACATTAACAAGCAAACAAATTTTTTTGAAGTTTTAAAACAAAGATTATTGTTTGTTTGTTTACCTTTATTGTTCCCCTTTAGGGGAAACTAGTTTTGCAGCAGTACGTCACAACACATACAGACAATACATAATCTACAGACAATACAATCATAATAAAACATATCTCACCAATCAAATGAAGAATTCATCAAACCAATAGCCACTGAAAGAAAGAAACCCTTAAAACGTTTTGTTCTTCCATCAGGTACTCTAAACCGACACCTTGAAGGCAACAGCTGAAATTCTTTAGTGGATGATCCAAATTCCTTAAAATTGAGTGTGCCTTGGTTAAACCCCGTCTATGATCAATTTCAATGGGTTAACTTTGACTCATTCCCATAACTTTCCTGCCACTTTGACAAGACTATTCAACCTATTTGACAATGTAAGACTACCAAACCAGGCGGCAATACAGAAAGAGAACACTGATTCAATAAAAGACACATTCTTTACAATTTTCTTACAAACAACTGATACATTTGCTTCAAAACTTAGTTTGTCATCAATTACTAAGATATTTATGATCGTCAATCATGTCAATATCCACTCCATTTATATTCGTCAACCCTGGACTTAATGTTGATCTTCCAAAATCAATTAACATTTTTTCCACATTTAATTGAAGGTGTTTAATTGAAGGAAGAATTTGCTGCAGTCATCTACAGGACTGTGCCCTCGATCCTGTTCCTGGAGAAGACTCACTATAACGGAGTCATCTGCATATTTGAGTATACGCCTGTCCTCATATGAAACATGACAATAATTTGTGTACATAATATATAACAAGGGTAGCAAACAACAACCTTGAGGTGAACCCGTGGAATGAAATAACTGTTTAGAATATACATTTTTAACACACTGTGACCTTTCTGTTAAAAAATCTAAGATGCATCCTGCAACATTTAAATCAATATTAAACTGAAATATGAATTTCTCTATTAACAAATGTGGCTTAATGGCTTAATGATTTCTCCCATATTTTGGGGACTTTTTGTACAGGTCCTTATCACATTGCCTCCTATGCTATCAGACCCCGGATTGTCTTGACATAATATTCTGAAAGACATTTCATTCAATATTTTCAAAATTACTAAGTGTTAGATCTTTGATTTCTGCACTAAAATCATGGTTATCAAACCTTAAATAATACTCGTTTATCAGTAAAATGTATATCTGAGTTAAAACCATCCGATCGGATTATCTTGGTATCCTTCTTCTCAATACCTGCCAAGGTTTTGACCCCCTGCCATGTTGATCTTAATTTTGCTCCCCATTCAGCTGCTCTTCCACCTTATCTTTAAATTTTAACCCATCCTTCTGTTTTTCAGCTCTCACCATCTTATTAATCTCTCGAACTGTTTGTGATTCTCCCATCTGAAAAGCTATTTTCTTTTTACGCAGGAGATCTTTCGTTCTTTTTGAAATCCAAGGCTTATCATTGGAGTGCTTTCCACAAGAAAATAGAAAAAAAGTATTAATTATTTTGACGTTACAATGCACATATTAACAATAACAATAAAAAGTGATCAAATGAAATGATAAAACACTAAATCTAAATAATTTAAATTATTATATCAAAACTTAACACCAATGATATAGTCAGCATCAATAATAAGATCTAAATCATAATCAGGTTAAGCTGATATGGTTTATAGAAAGGAGTGCCGTGAATTTGTAATGAGAGCAGGAAGACTCCTTCAGTCTCCAGAGTGTACAGTATGAGAGCTCTCATCATTCTCACCACAGTCGTCACCTCCTACTACATCGCACATATGTGTACATTTATATCCAGACACCTTCACCAGCCAAACAAACCTCTAACATATAGATCTGGTTGTGAAAGCAAAACATTCTATTCTCATTTCTTCAGTGATACAACTTTAATGATCTGTAGGCTACAGTTTTGATTCATACATGACCAGAACTTTCTACAGCAGTATAAATAGGACTAATAGGAAGTGAGAATATTAAAAACAAATTGCTTGACTATCCCTAAATCCTATTTCAACTATTATAATCCAAGCAAAGAGTGAAATAAACATAATTTCAGTGTTTATTTTGTGAATTTTTTACACAAATTGCAGCCATCACACAGGTGCCATTTCCACCACATTCAACAATTTTGCTTGTTATTAAGTTTTATCATTAAGTCTGATGATTTATCATTCCACACATCTCACAACACAAGCTACAGATTCATGTCACATTGAGATATTTAAGTGAACTGCAAAATGCTAAAAGCTAACTGTAAAATATATAAAACATAGGAAAAAACTCTTTCCTTTATTTAAAAGTAGCCTATTTTTTGTGTTAATAAAACGTTTGTGTATGTTTTTAATTAGTTCCTAGCCTTACAGTTAAATTTAACCTCAATTAGGCCATGCATATGATCACATTCACTAATTAACATCTAAACTCACCGTAGAAATACGGGGGGAGGGGGGGGGGATACAAGAAACAGAACGTTATTATCATCTGAGAGTAATTGTGTACTATCAGAAGTTCTTGTCAAACGTAATTACGGAGCTCTTAAAAGCTGGAAATGTCACTGACCGTTCAACGTCTATTTCACAGTAAATGTCTCCCCCTGGTGGCGTGTTGTTGAACCTCGTATTTCCAAAACGGGGGCAGTTTCAGCGTACCTGTCCCGTTATCGAAGGCAAACAAATGGCACAAAATACTGCTAAAAATGAATAGACACAAAAATGAAAGTTTCTCACTCTATTACTTTATTGATGGGATTGTCGTGGCAGTTGTCTGCCATTAATCCAAGATAAATTGAGTGAGATTTGGTGCAAATTCCACTAGATGATCATGCACACCCATCAGTATCTATCACCAGCAAAGTGTACAGAATATGGCTTTGTGTTCTGTATATACATACATGAAAACCAAATCAGCAGCAATACAACACAGAAACAGTAAAGGATTTCTTAAACAGAACATACTGCTGTTTGAATGTTTCAACTGTCCTATTCTTGAACTTTAATAATAGATCTATATTTAATTTGTTCAGTGGAAATGTGTTAATACAAGATAACTGATGTGTAATAGATGCTACTAAACAAACAAACAGGTTACATCATTTATTCAGCAGCTGTGAGCAACAGAAAATGCAACACATCACACCGTCATCAATCTGAAAAACAAAGAGTTGTCATTCTGGGTCATTTACAAAGGCTCTTTATATCACAGCAGTCACTTGTCTATAAAGATAATTCTTTGGACGCATGAGCACTTTTGGCAAACGGCAATGACAGTAATGCCCTTGAAAACTAAAAGAGGTTTATCAATTAAAATCCATAAAAGCGCAAATTCGTTTTCAAGTTTCATTGTTTATCTGTATTAACAAGGCACACTTTATCCTACATATTACTTATTTATTGGAAGGCGCAGTACTGAGGGTGAGACAAAACAGAAGCAGCAAATCTGGGTTTCTAAAACAGCCCAGTCATATTTAAATAGACCAGCTCTGTTTAGATCATCTCTAACATTTAAAGGTTCTGTAAATGTACTACTGAAGGTCAGAAAAGCAGACGGCCTCCTGCAGTCCCACAGAAGAAGTTCAAACATCAGTGCGTTTTACTGGCTAAACGGAGTCGTGCGTCCTGAGGTGGCGTCTGAATTCACATAATTGTCTTAAGGATCTATATTTTGACAATCTATACTGAAAGGCATGTTTACTGATATCTCATTACTGATCATTAAAGTGGCTTTAATATGCTTGTGGCATAAAGTTGTACAGTTGAACAATAAACATCTGAGCAAACATTTACATACATTCAGTGGAATCAAAACCTCGGCCTGTATAATAGTACATGCTTCTTGAGGCACATTATACTTATACTGTTTATTATATACTAGTTTTTGGAGCGAATTAAATAGATTTAAATTTAAAGTTGCTTTCACAAAATATTTTACTCCTATTTTTGGAAAGCAGAAAACACCCACTGTTATCATATTACATTTTGAGGGTGTATTGTACATAATTCTTATTCAGAATCACTGAATCTTGAATCACACGAGTTGAGTGATTCACATTTATGCACCTGTCAAATAAACAAACAAACAGGTTACATCATTTATTCAGCAGCTGTGAGCAACAGAAAATGCAACACATCACACCGTCATCAATCTGAAAAACAAAGAGTTGTCATTCTGGGTCATTTACAAAGGCTCTTTATATCACAGCAGTCACTTGTCTATAAAGATAATTCTTTGGACGCATGAGCACTTTTGGCAAACGGCAATGACAGTAATGCCCTTGAAAACTAAAAGAGGTTTATCAATTAAAATCCATAAAAGCGCAATCAGATGAAGAATTCGTTTTCAAGTTTCATTGTTTATCTGTATTAACAAGGCACACTTTATCCTACATATTACTTATTTATTGGAAGGCGCAGTACTGAGGGTGAGACAAAACAGAAGCAGCAAATCTGGGTTTCTGTAACAGCCCAGTCATATTTAAATAGACCAGCTCTGTTTAGATCATCTCTAACATTTAAAGGTTCTGTAAATGTACTACTGAAGGTCAGAAAAGCAGACGGCCTCCTGCAGTCCCACAGAAGAAGTTCAAACATCAGTGCGTTTTACTGGCTAAACGGAGTCGTGCGTCCTGAGGTGGCGTCTGAATTCACATAATTGTCTTAAGGATCTATATTTTGACAATCTATACTGAAAGGCATGTTTACTGATATCTCATTACTGATCATTAAAGTGGCTTTAATATGCTTGTGGCATAAAGTTGTACAGTTGAACAATAAACATCTGAGCAAACATTTACATACATTCAGTGGAATCAAAACCTCGGCCTGTATAATAGTACATGCTTCTTGAGGCACATTATACTTATACTGTTTATTATATACTAGTTTTTGGAGCGAATTAAATAGATTTAAATTTAAAGTTGCTTTCACAAAATATTTTACTCCTATTTTTGGAAAGCAGAAAACACCCACTGTTATCATATTACATTTTGAGGGTGTATTGTACATAATTCTTATTCAGAATCACTGAATCTTGAATCACACGAGTTGAGTGATTCACATTTATGCACCTGTCAAATAAACATTTAGTTTCTTTTAAAAACCGTACGTTTAAATGAAGTTGACTTGAGTAAGTCAATCATACAGTCCATTTAAAACAAGGAGAAAGTGTGGTGGTACACATTGCATAACCGTTGATTCTTGTATGATAAAAGAAACAAAGAACATTAAACATAACATGTATAAGTAATCGTTTTACCCAATCTGTGTGAAAAACTGATAACTAACAACAATATACATCACTACTGATGCCTGACTCTTTGAAGTAGTAGCACATGTACAGCATATGGACTCAGGCTGGAGATACTGAGCTTATGAGAGCTCGAAATATCAGAGAATTATGTAAAGCAGATGAGAAACTGTTAAATGATTCCAAAAAGTAACTGGTTGAAAAGCCCTTTTTGATTTACCACAGGAATGCCATTATATATGGCAAATACTCCATTTCAAAGGGCTGTACGATGATCCGAGTGACACAAAATGATGTTCTTGCCATGGAGAAACTGAAGTGAGGTGAGAGAGGAAACATATGAGGATACTATCCGTCCCCGAGTCCAGAGCGTAATCCAGCCAGTGCTACATGCAGGCCCAAGCAGCCTCTTAAAAGAGCTGGATCATTGATTCCCGTGACTTCCCAACACCAATCCACTTCACTAAAGCAAAGACGGAAGAAGTCATTAGGATCACTATAGTAAAACAACCCCACTGCATTTTAAACAATCAAAGACTTACATGAACAACTGAGTTAAAGTGATAGTCTACTCTCACCTTCATGTCATTCCAAACCTGTATGACCTTCTATCTACTGCTAAACACATAAGAAGAGATTTTGAAGAATGTTGGTAAACAAACTTTTTTTGACTTCCCATGTTATTTTTTGTTCCATATTTTTGTCCATTTGGATGTAAATGCTTACCAAATCTTTTTGGCTGCCCACATTCTTCAATATATCTTCTTTTACATTCCGCAGCAGAAAGAAAGTCATACAAGTTTTTGGAGTGATATGAAGGTGAGTAAATGACAGAAGAACTACTGTATCCCTTTAAAGTCTTACCAGGCACACCCAAGTGATCTTCGATGTACCAGACATATTTCTGTGCATTTTCTGGAAGCTCATCAAAGATCCTGGCAGCAGATGTGTCTGTTTTCCAGCCTGGCAGAGTCTCGTACTGCACTTCAACCTTCTGTAACACCTCTTGGTTTGCTGGGAAACATGTCTAATATTTAACTACACTAGATTTTATTAAATCGACATGTGATATGGGAAATGTGCTGCTTACCTGGAAAATGTGGGATGACTTCACCATCTACTTTGTATGCCACACCAACTTTAATCTCAGGAAGCACATCTAAGATGTCAAGTTTGGTGAGAGCTATGCTAAACAGACATATAGAAGGATGCATATAAGAAAACAGTACTTTATAGAACACAGATACAGAAACCAAAGGAGATTATTTGAACACTCACGCTGTGAAGCCATTAATCATGTGGGCGTATTTGATAAGCATCAGATCCAGCCAACCACATCTCCTTTTGCGACCTGTGGTCACGCCCACTTCCTTGCCTCTCGACTGCAAGAGCTCTCCAAGTTCCTATGCATAAGTACAGTATGAATAAAGTGCAACATTTAATGACTTTGTGTATTTACGTGTACAGGTAAAATACGTTTAAACAGTCAAGCTTTTTTTATAATTGTAATAATTTTAGGAATGACTGTGTAACATTCTATCCAGGGACAAATATATAGAAGATATTTAGAAAAATAGATAAATAGACTTACCTGGTTTATTTACAGTAAAGTTTATTAATGTGTACTATCCCTATTTAATAAACTTAATATATATATATATGATCTATATGGTCTACTATATTGGCATAATTATTTGACAGTTTGAATTATGAAGTCTACAAAACTATTGTCTTGCCTAAAAAAACATTCTTCCCACTAGATGGAGCCATTTTAAAACTCAACTCAACGTGTTTGATGTGTAAGAACAATTTCTAGTTGAAGAAATATATTTGGACCCACTTTATATGATGTGTTTTAATATAATATGTACTGACATTTAAAATAATGATATGATACAATGCACTTATTGTCTACATACATGTTTTTATATTGTATTTATAATTAAAATACCTGCAGTAATTCTGTAATTAAGTTCTGCAATATTTAATTAATATTAATGAAATTCTATAACATTTCTATCTATAATCACACTGTTGACCCCTTAACCTAACCAAACCACAAAACCTGTCCCTAACCTTAACCTTATCCCACCTCAATAACAGCAAGTGTTTTGCAATGCAAAATGCAAACACTCAGTACACTGTACCTAACTTTTTTTTAAATTATTATTAAAGACATTTGATTAAAACGTACTGCTATGTACAAGCGTGACCATAAATTTTAACCAGATTAGACTACTAGACCATTTAGACTTCATGTATATCCCAGAAATGTATTAATTTCCATTGTAGAATCCTAATATTTCCGGGATTTCCTTGACTGTGTGAACCCTGCCATTATTTATTAAGTCACTGAAAAGCACATCATGAATAGGAAATCATAAATGTCTCACACATAATATATTCACTGTCATGTAGTGTGACCAGTGTTGGGGAAAGTTACTTTTAAAAGTAATGCATTACAATATTGCGTTACTCCATAAAAAAAGTAACTAATTGCGTTACTTAGTTACTTTTTATGGAAAGTAATGCGTTACGTTACTTTTGCGTTACTTTTTAAATCTGGACAGGGCTTGCTTGTTTGATTTTAAAATAAAAAAGTTCTATTTTTGGCAAATATAAAAGCCTTTCACACCAAAAGTGAAGTGAATAAGCCTCAGGCTGAAGGGAAAGTAAATTTACGTCCGTACAGTAGAATGCAGAAGAAGAAATTCAACACACTTCAGCAATAAACAAAAACACATGAATGTTTGTCTTGAGTAATTTGTGCTTATTAGTACGGTTGAACTGGACCATCGAAGGTCAGAAGCAAAGACATTGGTTAATAGAATGGTATTAAATACATAAAGTATATTTGTGTTGTTTAACATTTAATTATTGCAGGTTTGCGTCATATTCGGAGTTGCATTATTTTTATTCATTTTGAGGAATACTGAATCTGTGTTTATTTTTTTGTGAGCGAGATGAATTAATGCATATTCATATTTATTTTGAACTACAGTAACATCTTCTGATTTCTCTCAACATGGCAACACAAGAGCTGTCAATCAATAAATTGAAAAGGAAAAAAAAAGTAACTCCGATATTCTCTTGTAAATAAAAAAGTAATGCGTTACTTTACTAGTTACCTGAAAAAAGTAATCTGATTACGTAACTTGCGTTACTTGTAATATATTACCCCCAACACTGAGCGTGACAGATTACCGACTGCTCTGTTCCTTCAGCCTCATGCTACCTGTTCAAATCTATCCATAACAATAATCGTGCTCGACTAAAGTCAGGGTCATTACTGCCAAAACGTTCGAAATATAAACAGTAGCGAGAGCTCATCCAAACAATGCGGAAACAAAAGAGGAAGTTAAGCCGCTGCTTACGTTGTTCTGTTCTGCAGGGAAAGCTCCAATCCCAACCCTCGTGGTGTAGGCTTTGACAACTCCATAGACTTCCCCCACGTTCTGCGGCGGCATGCCCAGACCCGTACACACCCCTCCCACAGTGCAGTTTGAGGAAGTCACAAACGGATATGTCCCTAAACAAAAGCATCACATCAGCGCTGCATGCTAGTGAAGTGTTAGCGAAGCTTTAGGCAATGGCAGTGCTATTTTCATTTTGTACAATAATAGACCTTTGCGTCTGTCAACCCCTATAATTATTTGTAAAAGGTGTTAGAGGTGCACAACACTGCTTAAAATCACATAACATAACCATAAAAATTAAATTATTAGGAACTAACGTTTTTTACATAGTAAAGAATAAACTCAAGCAAAGTTAAATGTATTATAATGAACTAAAACAAAAAAATCAAATGATGAAATATATTAATACAATTTAAATGAATACATTTAACTGAACAAATAAAATAAAAAAGTGACTGAAGTGTTAGTAAAGCTGTAGAGAACGTAATGACAATGTTATTTTTATTATGTAGAGTAATAAGCATCTACATCTATCAATGTAAAGTTATTTTTTTAATACACTTCTTTCAATTCATAAATCACATAAAAATAAAGAAATAGTAGAAACTATAATATTTTTTAACATGAAGAATAAATCAAATAATAGAGAATGTAGAATGTGTGAGACTGTATTATTGACTTATTGTTGTTGATACTCCACAGGATTTAACTACACGGGAGGACTTTCCCAGAAGTTCACAAATGGGAATCAGCTGGTTAGCACATTGCATAATCTTATGTTACACGTGGTCAGGGAATGGTATGTACTATGTGTTTCAGTGTATCCATTACTCACCAAAGTCAATGTCCAGCAAGGCAGCATTGGCACCTTCCACCAGAATCTTTTTTGGAGGGCCGTGTAGCGCCTCATACATGAAAAAGACTCCATCTCTCACCATGGACTTTATTCTGTCTATATACGTCTGAAAAAACAATCAATGTCAGAAATTGTGGTAACCCTTGTTGTCTGTGTTGCACATTAGATATTATTGTTATGAATACAGTAATTAAATGCAAAAAAAGGTAAAAAAAAATTAACAGATATGTTGTGCATCTTTACCTCCTTTACTATAAATCTGACTCTTATCCGAGTCTTATAAAATCTTGTAAACCTAACCTACGGTATTAACTGGTGTGAACTGGTGTGACATCTAAGCTTGTCACCTTGAGTTTCTCAAGTTCCCCATCCACATCAATCTCCAGTGAAGGGTACATAGACTTATACTGCGAGGCCAAATGTTTAAATCTGTGAAAAGAGACATGAGACTGCTCAGTTGACACTGTGATAGACGAGAAGCGTGATCATTTGCTCTTCCATTGTTTCTGTCGGATTAAGAACTGGATTAACTGTTTTTACAGAAGGTGAAGTTTAACACATTCTATTGAATGTGACATGAATGGGTCAAACAGTTGAGTTGTCAAGCTCATTTGAACAGGTAAGCAGACCCTGACCTCTCTGAGAACTCCTGAAAGTCAGCCAGAAGGTCACATATCCTCAGGCCACTGCGAGCTGCTTTGGCTGAGTACACGGGGCCGATTCCTTTTTTAGTTGTTCCTAAACTAGGTGGTGAAACAGAAAGAAGGCGAGACTCGTGAGTAATATTCACATGCATTAGATACTTTTTTTCCCATGTTGGATTATGGGTATGCTTTATAACAGTGTTCTGCAACCTTTTTCAGGGACCCCTAAGTGGATATAGACATAGAGAAGTGACCCTCTGTTACATACAATATAATTGTACAAAATTAAGTGTAATTTAGTTTATCAACACATTTTTTATTCAACAAGGATGCTTTAAACTGATCAAAAGTGACAGTAAAGAAATGTATAATGTTACAAAAGATTTCTATTTAAAAATGCTGCTCTTTTGAACTTTTTATTCATTAAGAATCCTGAAAAATGTTTGTTTTCAGAAATATATTAAAGAGCACAACTTTAAGACAACTTCATTATTAATACTGATAACAATTTTCTTCACTGATAATAATAAATGTTTCTTCAGCAAATCAGCATATAAAAATGATTTCCTCCTGTGACACTGAAGACTGGAGTAATGATGCTGAAAATTCAGCTTTGCACCACAGGAATAAATGACATTTATAATACATTTAAATAGAACATACTTATTTTAAACTGTAAAAACATTTCAAAATATTACTGTTTTCACTGTATTTATAATCAAATAAACGTCCTCTTAGTGAACATAAGAGACTATTTTCAAAAACATTAAAAAAAACAATAAAAATAAAACTGACAGACCCCAAGCTTTTGAACATCTAAAAGCCATTGAATGAATCATTATTGACGTACATAATCATTTATTTGTACTCTCCATTTTAACTTAACCTAATGTTTTAAATGTGAGATGGAATATGAAATATTCATCTGAACTTTAACTTTTTAAATTTAATGCCAGACTTAACCAATATTATATATAATACTTCATTTTTTTATATTTATAATAAAATATTTATTTTTGCATAATTATTTATATTTATATATAAATTATTTCACATTTCAAGAACTTGGGACCAAAAGGACTGTATCTACTCTCCAAGTCCAGACCATCGCATTTGTCAGTTATAAAGCAAATGACAAAATACACACTAAACAGTCAATTACCAAGATCAACCAGAGTGGTTAGAAAAGCCGCCATTTCACATGACTAAAGTTCATCTCTCAAAGCATTTTTTTCTTTTGTTATGAACTCGTGTCATAACATGTTGCTAGCGTGTTGTATGCGTGTGCATAAATCAGGGTTTTTACTTTTTGCCAGCTTGCTGTTGCCTCTCCTGTTCCTGGACTCCATCCACAGCTTGATGGAAATCAAACACTAGAGGCAGGAGAGTGTATACATTACAGTGAGACAACTCATCTATCTGAGCTCTGAACCCAACATGCCAAAGCAGGTCACCATAACAACACTTGGGTTGACTACAATTGATCCTGTGTCCTTTCATTATAACGGCTCCTGCTGAGAATCTAGAATTACAACAATAGACTACAGGCATAATAATTCAAACACATGCCATTATTAATTTTAAAGGACTCTTTGATTATATGACATTTGAGAGCAGTATCTGCCTACTTCAAATCCCAAAAGCAAAACATTTTTTTAAAAAAAACAGAGGGGTAAAAATGCATTGATGCATCAAAGAACATTTCAACAGATTAATTAGATACTAATATTATGGATATTGAGCTATTACTGACAGCTAGATTTGCAGTTCCTGAAGGAAATAGCAGTGCTTGCAAGGCATCAAAAGAATAGTGTTAAAGATTTAGGTTTAGGTTTACATTCCGTGTAAATAGAGTTGCTTTGTCGTTGTCATGACACTCAGTATGAATCTTTTTGATAAATATGGAATCAAAGGGAGGTTTTCAAAAATCTATCATACGTTCCATAAATAAGAAATCAATCAATAAATAAAAAAAATTCCATGCAAAGGCTGACATTAGCCAAAACAAACAAACAAACAAAACAAAACAAACTTAACAGAATGTTGGAGGGGCATCAATAAAGTGCCTTGCAAGCACTGTAATAATACCTACTGTATTATGTGTTTATTTCTTAACCAAATAATAATTCTTGTCTGTTTTGTTTTAAATAATTCATCAAATCCAGAACACCCAATGTACTTCATGTACATCAATGCATTCATTTGGCTTAAGTTACAAGTTTTTTAAAAATTAAATGAATACTTTTATTCAGCAAGGATGCATTAAATTGATCAAAACTGACAGTAAAGACATTTATAATGTATCTATTTCTATTTTTTCTTATGTTAAAATTTTCTATTTCAAATAAATGCTGTCCTTTTGAACATTCTACTCATCAAAGTATACTGAAATAATATCTCACACTTTCCACAAAAATATTAAGAAGCACAACCATTTTCAATATTTTCAATAATAATAAGAATGTTTCTTGAGCAGCAAATCAGAATATAAGAGTGATTTCTGACACTGAAAACTGGAGTAATGGCTGCTGAAAATTCAGCTTTGCCATCACAGGAATAAATTATACTATTTAATATATTAAAATGACTTTAAATTGTAATAATATTTCACAATATACTGTTTTACTGTATTTTTGTTCAAACAAATTAAGAGAAAAACTGACCGCAAACTTTTGAATGGCAGTGTAAGTGTATTCAGCATATGTTTAAAAATAACCGTGAATCCAAAATACAAATTTAGTAAAGAATTACAATCAAATCAACTTTGTTTACACCCCTGTAAAGTCAAATTTTGCTGTGTTTGCAGCTGTGAATGTAATTTTGGCATATGATGGTGTTTATATGCTATGGGAGCCATCAGCCTACCGATGTGTGCCCGGTCAGAGATGATGAGCCTGTTCTCCCAGCCTTCCAGACCTGCAAGCAAACTCACTGTTAGACCCCTACCAATGCTCACTGAAACGCAATCATACAGCCCATGGGCACAAACAGTTAAACAAACCTTTTCCTTTCCGCATATTCTTCTCAGCCTCCTCGAAGAGACCCGGCAGGTGAATGACAACACCATTACCTGCAATCAAATGAGGAGCTGTCAGTCATCACTGTCCAATTCAGGGCTTTAACCCCGAGATAACTTCATCTTTACAACCTTTAAAGGCCAGTTTTGACCCTGAAGTCTTAAATAATGTGGTGTTAGAATGTTACAGTGAGTTGTTTAGCCACAGACAACCAATCACAAACTCATTAATATTCATGCACTTTGTACAGTCACAGAAACTTGTTTCTTGAGTCACGCTGTGATCAGTTTCAGTTGTGACAATACCACAGATGGACAAGCAAGTTGCGTGCTGAAATAAATGGAGTAAGAGGTAAAGATTTACCAATTTAAAGTCTGAAAAGCCCAAATGTGTCATTCCAGGTGTTGGAATGGATAGAAAGGGGTGTAATATTGAAGAGGAATCTTAAAAATCACTCAAATCAACACTCAAACCCTGCAACACAGATTTCTGAAAGCTGTACAATCTAATTTACTATGAACATCAAGCATTTCCAATACATCATACTAATCTACAGTGCTGATATATGAAGCAGAAGGCCAAAACTCAGTAATGACCATTAGCAAAATTGGATTTTTGCAAATAAAGTGCATAGATTGCACTCAGATATATTAGTCTGGATATGCTGGCCAACATCCAAACACTCTAACAGGAAACTGTGGTGTTGTTTTCAAAGCACGGACTACCAGAAGATGCTGCACTGGTTGCATGAGAATGTGCACAACTCATATAAGACACTATCCAAATGGAGAGAGGGAATTAGACATGCTCACCAATGAAGGCAGTGACCTTAGGGTTGATAATCCCACTGGGTAGAAGGTGGAAGTCATATTCCACTGAATCAACCACGACTGTGTGTCCTGCATTGTTGCCTCCCTACAGGAGAGAAGAAACACAAAGACTTTTCAATCCTTGAGAAGATACCATACAAATCTAGTAAAGTTCACACCAAAATTCTGTCTTACCCACATCGTCCAAAAAATTATGACTGACTGACTTCTGTGGAACATAAAAGATGTTTTGATAAATGCCTCAGTGTTATTGTCCATACAATGGAAATCAACACCATCCAATGTTGTTTGGACCTCAGATATCATCTTCTGCATTCCACAGAAGTACGTACGTTTTGGGTGAACTATCTCTTTGGGTGAACTATCCTAAGCATTACTATGTTATGGTACAGACATGCTTTGACATGCAGTTGTGAAATGGAAAATTTGAAGCATGTAAACAACACTGATTTTGGTTGTTAGGTGTGGATTTAATGTGAGAACAGCTCTATTGTTCAATTATACAAGATACAAGTAGAAATCCAAGTGGAACCCTTGTGGGAAAATTTGTTGTATCCTTCAGAATAGACTTTAACATGGTAAAATGCATTAAACAGAGCTAAAATGACTACATTCTTATTTGTGGCTTAAAGCACAATGAAATTAACCTTATAAATGAATGTGCAAAGGGTGAGGCATGAACACATTTCAGTTCTGCCGAGTTCCATTTGTTCCATTTTCATTTTATTTGTCATTCCTTTAAGCTGTAAAATTACATAAAGAATGCCAACTTGATTCCTTCCTTGTTGACACGTGACCAAAGAGCAGGCAACCATAGATTACAGAGCACACTTGGCCCGCCAACTGTTACCATCCTCAAGAATAATTAAGAGTCCTCGCATGTGTCCGTTTTCAACATGGCGTCAATCAGTTCTGACCTCATGTCACATCTGAGGGAGTTCTCACAAAGTGTGTTCAATAAATCAGTCTTTAATCCGGCAAGGACCAGGGTAGAGCTATTTCAGGACAGGTCTACTTTGACCAGTTTAATAGTGTGTGTGTGGATGCCTCTCCTTTTTAGATCAATTTACGATGTTCTCATACCCATGGTGACCAAAAGCATTGCTGGAGGCACTTAGCATTACTATTATAGGCTCCAATTACAAGGATGATTTGATTCAAAGGGCCCAGCCTGGGAGTTTTTTTTTCTTTAAACTTATACATCACATTGTTCTTAGCAGCATGCCGACACTTCAGAAACTTGGGAAGTATTGGCTTCATGTAATGAATGTGGTTTCATTTCACACAATTGGAGGTCCACCTCCAAATAATCTGTGGGATATCACACATTTTCATTTAAGAATATAGAATGTATAGATTGTACACACTACTAAATGATTAATTTGTTCTGAACTGTGAAAAGGGTAATAAAACAGGTTTGTTTGTTTTTGTTTTTAATTTATTAAAATATTTTAGTTTGTTTTCAAACTCTCAATGACAAAAAGATTACTCTATTTGGAACAGAATTGATTGTGAAAAGTTTGTTAATATCAGCAAAAATATTTGTTTTTTTTCTTTGGAATATTTTGGACAATTAATCCGTGCACATAGTATTGAGATAAGTATACAGGGTCAATTTCGATTTCATGTTGACTTTAAAGTTTATTTGAATTGATACTGCATTTAGTTTTATAAGATGTGGGTTCTAGGGAAAAGACATTTAGTTTGTATCAGAGAAAAACCCGAAAAAGCTGAGTCATATTTTGAGGCAATAACCTGGAACATTTCTTTCATATGATGTTTGTTGTGGAAATAATACAGGGATTACTAGCAAAGTTACCACTTTATTACCCACAATGACACACCAGGCAGTCACACATCAGCATTAAAAATGTAGCTGAAAAAGTACCAAACCAATTAGATGAACCAGATTGATTAAATAATGTTTTGTGTGGTGAGATAATGTTGTGATGTTCTATCTGGTTAGGTTTTTCAGAATAAAAAGTGTGTGCACATTTGTGAATGAGAGCAAGAGTATGCATGAGAAAAAAAACTTTTTGTATTTACTATTTTATTTGCATTTATAAGCATGTATCAAGTTTACAAGGCAGGACAGGTGGCACTCAAACCTCTCTAGGGTGATGAAAGAAAGATTCCAAGTCAGACAAGGTTCCCACTTTCTAAAGGTTTTAGAAATTGCACTCACAAAGGGCTAGTTCTAGCCAATCAACCAGTTTCAGACCTGAGCATAACTAGATAAAAAACAGACATTTCCACGACTGTTTTTTCATTTCAATTTCTTATCTAAGTTTGTAATTCAAGCTTTAAATTTGCATGACCTTTCTGTTTCTGCAGCAAAATTTTTCTTTATGTCATAGACTATACAGCAAAAAAAGCTTAAATTTTCATTCACCAATGCCTTTGTAAAAATGCATTATTCCCAGTCAGCCCCAATTCATTTAGTATAAGGGGGGCACGGAGGTAAAGTGAGTACTATTCAGCAGATCATGTCAGCTCCCATGAGGTGGCCTGCTCCATGTAAAATAAAAAATAAAAAATTAGTCAATGACTTCAGTCTTGAAACATGTCAAACTCACTATTAATTTCTTTGTGTAAAAAATAATACTGAGAAAAAAAACAGAAATCAGCTGATAAAAAAAATGTAATCATACAATACTTCATGAATAACTTGAATAACACTGTGTTTAAAATGGCAGCACAATTATCAGCAAGCAACATACTTGGACTCACTGATAAACAAGCAGCTGCACATTACACAGTTAACATGACCACTGCAACACTACAGTCAAGAGATTTCCACAGAGACTCAATTATCAAGCTGGCCCCAAGGATTTATACATGCCTGACATTAATGGTCAAAGACTCAAAGTATTTTAAGTCTCTTAAATTACAACGGTTTAGTAGTAGATAATATATTATTTGAAGCAAACTGTGTCAATTGCAAAGTCAATATAGCAAATCTATCCAATTACAGACTTTATCAGTAAGAGCAACAGATGGCCTTTCATTCTTGTCAGACTTGGTGTTACAGTGGCAGACCAAGAAAGAAACGTAATACCAAAATGTCTATATGCGCTCCTCTAGACGGTTACAGCTCACAAAGGTCTCAGTACGTTCCTGTATAACAGGTTAGACTGACGACGGCACCTGGTTGTCATAACAAATCTGTAGGCATTACTCTGAACGAGTTATGAAAGTGTGACCATATCAAACCTAAAACATTTAACCAGCTCACATACCTGAAAAACCATAAACAAGCCACAAAAAGCATACGATTATTATGCCTACAATACAACAATGTGAAGCAAACTGTGTTCAAAACGTGTTTTTCCAAAATCTCACCTATAAAACAGATTAAACCACACAAAATTGGCTGACATGAGAAGAGGCAATAAAAAGAGGTTAGTCTGCAAATAAAATGTTAAAAAGAGGTTGCATTGTGTTAGATCATCTGATTTCTGGACCGACATATCAAATTGGTGTGACATGGAACAGCATGATGGTCTTTTTTCCATTCCATCTGCCTGTAAGGAAAACCAGTCAGACTGCTGAGTGCAGTGTTTTTATAAAAAGACTAACACTATCTGCTTTCTGTCCCATCCATTGCATAGTGCAGCACCAAGTGTCTTATTTGAATGCAGTCACAATCTTGGCAGAATGCAAACTTCTTAGAAGAGAATCCTTGCAATGTGAACCTGTTATCAATGCATAGTGACAGGGGGCGTAAAGCAGCCTGCTATCACTGCTCTCTAAAACATAACACAACCACGGGTGCCATTTCCACATTTGTCCCTAAAAGTTCTCTCTTGACAAATCTAAACATTATGTTATATAGTTACATATGTGTAAACATTTAAAAATCACCAGGTCTAATACAATAGAATAGAAGCATTTAACCCTACTTAGGGAGTTTCAAGAAAAACATGACATATATGTCATATTTTTTTTGTTATATATGATACATATATTATATCATATCTAACAGTTTTACAGTACACGTTTAGCGAGAGCACAGCAGTGTCTGAAAGCCATGAGGCTGAAATAGTGACACCTGTTTCTTTCTGACATGCAGTGTGAGATGTTGACACATGGAGCCATATGCTAAGTAAACCTTTATTTAGTACTCTGAACAACTGCTTAACAATATATGTGTATTTTTAAAAATATATACAAAAATATATACTTTGCCTGGAGCATTTTATATAATAAAACGCAAAAAGCATTCCTTTAAAGATTTACTATAAACTTTCATCAATACATTTCAATGGCATTCCATTTGTTTGCAATTACTCTGCAAATACTTTAATATATAACCTATATATATATATATATATATGATATATATATGAAATATAAATTGTTTACAATTGCACCCAGAAAGATCTATTTATCTAGCCAATTAAATATTTTAGAGAATATTAAACATATCAAGAAAACTCACATTAACAATTGAAAATTCCATAACATAATTTATGGTTTTATTCATTCTAAGGAGTTTCTAGGTCTGGAAACAACCATTTTAAATCCCCTGACATTACCATGATTTTTTATGAGCACGACAAATAAGACTTTAGACTTAAGTGTTTTTACAAACCAAGGACACAGCTATAGAAAGTATATATATATATATATATATATATATATATATAT